CAAAACATCTTGAGAGTTTTGAGTGCGATTTGAAAAACTTTGTTTCCGACAGTATGCCAAGTATCCAACGAGAATGTTGGAATTATCAACAAAAACATGGATAGGATCATCTGATATCTTAATTGGAATCGGTACACTAAATTTGACGGTCATTTTTGAATTGAATCTATCATTCGCTTTCTGAAGCAAAGCTGGTTCTGGCTGCTTTTGATTATTTGATGAATTTACATTATCGAAATGCACTCTTTTGTTGCCATCATTTATAATCTATTAAATAAAATGATAATTATAATGTTATTATAAAGAGATAGTTAGTGCAAATATGTAATAATAGATAATTATATAAAACTTACCGTTTTTAGGCCGTCTTTATTTGATTTATATTCAAATGGTTTTTTACCTTTCTTATTCTTCTTATTCGTCACCTTTTCGTTACCTTTATTTACGGTAACGACCACGACACCTTCAACTTTCTTTTTTGATGGCTGTACCACTTTGATCGCTTTATTCGCTTTATGCTTAGCGATTAAGATCTCTTCTTCAGAAGAATATTCAGAAGAAGAAGAGTGAGGTAATACTGGAGGTTGTTTTACTTCGCATGGTTGACCACTTGAGGTCAAAAAACCGTCAATGTCCTCAATAGATGTCGAACCAGAATTACACCATTTCTCTTTTTCCCCTTGTAAAAATCTCCATAACCTCCCGAAATCTCCCAAACTATTATCAATATATTGATTGTCATTCCCTAAGTAAGACCAAAGAGGTGCGAAGTCGCCCAGATCACCTGAAGACTCTCTGGATGAGGAAGCACGTGATGACGAAGACTTAGAATTTGGAATCGTTAATAGCGACATTAGTGTGTGTTGTTTAAATCTACTGTACAATATTTCAGCAAACTTCTAAAAATCTGCTGGTTGTTATTTACGAAACTCAAAAAACTGCTTCACCTAGTAACAATTTTAAAAAAAATTTTTGTGTATAATTTAGATAGTGCTGAAGAAAAAAAGGAGGGTTTCGTCTAACCAGAATGGGTATTTATTAGTACATTCAATCGTTACACGGCGATAAAGAATTCTATTGTGGTTTATTTTTAAACAAAGAAATGACCAATAATTGTAAAAACTATTTAACTACTATCTATCTATTTTATTACTAACGATATGATGTAATGGATCTCCTGTATCTCCTTTGTCTAGAAAAAGAGAACATGCTACCCGTTTCCATTATCTAAAAATAGAAAAAATAAAAACTACGTATATATCGATATATAAAGAAGGAATAGGTTACAACAGTTACAACAGTTACAACAGGTAGCCCTTCACATGAAAATTCGTACGACCATATTTTTTAAGTAGATCATTATCATTATCATCGCAGCAGCAGCATTGACGTGTAGAAGTGGCTTTCGAATATTTGATTCGACTAAAATATGGCAAGTAATGAGGATAGCGATTGGATTTATTTTAACCCTCCTTTATGGCTACAAAGACGAATTTTCATTAATCTCGTGTTACAAGAGAGTAAGGTTACTTCGGTAATTTATCATGAGGAAATTCTTCGTTCTAGGGAGCGATATTTTACTTTAGATAAAGATCGATTAATATGCACTTGTTGATATTTAATTGGAATCAGGTAGTTGACTTTGGTTGCGGAGAGGGTTCACTCCTTTCTTTTCTTGTTCAACCTTGGGAAAAATCACCACCAATTACGCGTCTTGCCGGTGTAGATATCTGCTATGAAACATTGAAATATACAGTGGAAAATTGCCGTCCAA